TTCCCCCCCCAGTCACCAGCCTTCTCCAGTCTGCTGACAGCTTTAGTGTGACTTGTGGAGTGCGAGCTGTTTTGAACCTGGATGTCACTGCACGCCGGTGCTCTGCGCTGAGCTGTGTTGCTCAATAGATGAGTGACTGCATTTTGTACCAATGGATTATTCCTAGGATATCTGGCTAATGGACAGTTGAAATTATTATCCCTGCAATATAAATCTGTGTTTTAAACGATAGCGTATTTTTAATTCGCAGGATTATGGTGGCGCTAAATCTACTGAGATACTTAATACTTAAGGATTGTGAAAGTGATAATCAAGTAAGTACTGATTGATTTGAAAATGATTGATCAGCCAGGGGCTGAGAGGTGGATTCATGTGAACACAGTTATCCTGGATTCAAAAACATGTCTTCTGCGTTTTCCTTTGCAATAGTCAGTAATCCAGACGTGATGTTTTCATTGACTGCGTTAGGAGATACGTGATGTGTTCCTTGATTCTGATGCAATTTGATTGGATTCATACTTAACTGTTACTGTGAACAAGCCAGTCCTTTTACTCTGCCTGATGAACTGTGGTCTATGTCCATCATTTTAGCACATATCACCATAAAATAACATCTCTCTCAAGTATTCCCATGTGAAGAACATACCAAGATCCTTCCAGCTTTGCTTTCCAAGCTGAAAATGTGTTTCCATTGCTGTCGTTACCAGTCTACGTACTAAATTTGTCCCCCCTCATTTTTTTTGACTGCTTCACCTTCCAATTTTCAACAAATAATATTGAAAATGTGAGAGAGGGAGAGGAGCTAATACCCATCATGATGCTTATTTGTGCTTAAATGCATGAGTCTAAATTCTTTTTCTTCCTCTTTCTCCCAGTGTGTGTTAGAAACACTAATCCAAAAAGTCGTGCTCGAAAACGACGCATTGCCGTGCTTTGTTCAAACCAATTTGAAACCTCCTGTTTTCTGTTTGAATAGACTGGTGTGTGGACCATGCTTGCCAAGATTGAGCAAAACTTCTTAAAACCCCTGCACATGGGACTCAATATGTCAAAAGCACACTACGAAGCAGAAATCAAGAATACGAAAGAAAACAGAAGAGGTTAGTTGACTTCTCTGTTCTTAGTCCTATGTAGAAGCTTTGGACACAAAGAACTGGTGAGTGCTGTACAGCTCCTGTTTTATCGAACTGTTGATGCCATTCCAGATTTCAAACAGTAGCTCAGTAGTTGATATTAATAATTTTCATAATTGGTCAGAAAAAGGTGAACCCGTTTACCTTATCACTTTTGTAAACCTCATGGAAACCTGATCGAAATGTCACAGGAAGAACTTCAAAGCTTGTTCTGCATTTACAGCCTTGATTTTGAGGTTAGACAAGAACATCAAAGTCTCTCTGTGAATATATAGCCCCTAGGTTTCATACTAGGTGTGGGGAGGTTAACAAGAGAAGAAATAATTCTCACAGCAAATTGCTGCTCTCTTAAAGCCTGAAGGGTTACGTTCTGGACTTTGTATTTTATTTATCTTTTCAATCTGACACAGAGATTCACACAGAATCAGATTCTGCTGTGGGTTAAGCAGACATATTCCACTGGACATAGGAGTTGTAGCTGCTTTAGGCCATCTCTGTGTATGTCAGATCCTCTGTTCCTTTACGGTCTTCAGTATAATTAAGACAACCCAAGGAGCTTGCTTCTGCTACCAAAAATGGCTTTTTGCCTCTGGTGTTACCCTCTTCTGTTGTTGTAAACTATGTGAGTATGAGGCCAAGAAAGGGAATTTTTCTGAAGGCAACCTGTGGGCATCTTTCTAAAGAGAATCCTTTCAAATTAACCGGGAAGCTTTTTCTTTAAGTCTATCTTACATTTCTCTAGCCTTTGACAGAACAAAGCGATTCAGGAGAGAGCATCTAACTTGTAACAGTCAGTGGTTTACCTTTTCCCCCAGAGTGTTTAATCTTTGTAAGCATTATGTTGAATTTCAAATATGTGGTCTGAATGTAAGAGGTTTTGCCTTTAGTTTTCAGACTTGTCCTTGTAGTTCTGCCTGCTGCAAGTAATCTGCCTGAAACAAAGCCTGCAGCCTGTTCTTAATAAAATAAGTATTTCATGTCTGGATTCATTAAGTCAAGCTAAAGAACCTCTTATCTCTCTGGATATGGAAATACTAAAAATGTATCCCAAAAATTACAAGGTTTAGTTTAACTTTTTTCCCTTTTAAGGAGCATTTTAGCTACATAAAATTGAGTTGCAGATCCCGTCTGTTTAGCAATGTAGTGTATGTCATATGGAAATTGTAGAGATAGCAGCCGGCTCAAACTGTCTTCCTCAGAAGCTTCAGCACCTTCTGTCCTGTGTTTGGTCAATCCCTAGGTTTGTTTTTCAACAATTAGTGTTGAGAAATGCTAATATATTAAATACTCTTTTCATTGGAAGAGCGCTGTGAAGCAGTCTGATCTGCGGTTGGTTGTTTTCCTCTACAGAGGCGCACAGTTCTACCACGGTTTGTTCTGTAACTGTTAGTGGGGAAAAGGTGCCTGCAATGACTACGGAAATGCAGCTTCAGGTGAGTTTGCATTTCCTTCAAGTTTATTCAGAAGTATGGAAGTTTTCCTTTCAATCTGGATACAAATGTACATATACAGTGTATGGGAAAAAAAGAATCAAAATCACATTAATCTCTCGTTTTGTTATTTCAGGTTTTACACTCGGCTCTCTTCACGTTTGATTTAATAGAAAGTGTTCTCGCCCGAGTAGAAGAACTCATTGAAATGAACATAAAAGCTGTAATGGATGAAAATAGTGAGGTCAGCTGAAGTATTTGAACTGACATACTTCTTACAAGAGCATTTATGAGACATTAGTTGAAAAGGAGGCTACCAGCCTTTAGAGAAGAGCTATTAAGAGTTGCTTCTAGAAGAATTGCAGATGCTGCTCTTCAGACGTCTTGTTGCTGTTCTCTTTTTTTACTTTTGCTATAGTTACATGAGATTCACAGACATGGCCTGTTTACTGAAGTACCTCTCTTCAGAATTTGATGGTTTTTCTTAAGTTTGGGAATTAAAAATGAGGTGGGGTTTTGTTGGTGGTTGTCCTTATGCTGTAAGGGGATATGGTTGTGCGTTTATTTTCCCGGTCATTGTTGCTGACTGATGGCGTGAGTTACAGAGACTTCTATAAAATGACTGGAAAACCATTAAGTAAGTAAAAAGCACTGTTTAAGCACAAGCTATTTTTATTAGCACTTTTTAATGTTGAGAAACAAGGTTCTGTAGTTACAAATGGGGGATTGCAAGTTCCAGATAGGTAACAGTAGAAATACTATGGCAAATGAAACCAGGTTTAAAGAGAAGCACGTCAACTTTGAGCCACGTAAGATATTAAAACTTTGTAACACAACAGGTAACACTTGGCTTTAAAAAACAAACTGTGTAAGACTTCATACATATACCTCTTTATGCATGGGAAACCTATATTTTAGATTGATTTTGATCATCTAAGTTTTCCTTAAGATACATTAAGTGTTTGGGGGATTTATAAACAGATGAGCTCACAAGCTCAGAACCAAGTTAAAAATAAGGATGGCTTTTCTCTAGTGCAGTTCAACCACTTTTTTTTCTTAGTAATTGGTTCAATGTATGCTGGTTTTCATTGTATAGTTATTTAATAGACACTTTCATTCCAAATGTATAAGTTGTACATAGCGTCTTTTGAAATGTAACTATATTTTAAGAACATACTATATTTTGTTTAAAACGTAGCCACTCTATTTATGAATAAAAACCCAATTACTGCATTAATTACCATGGAACTGGTACTCCTGAAGCATCTTCCAAGCTGGACTGTTTTCTATTATTTGGGCTTTTGTCATTGCTATTTTGTCATGACTGTCATCTGCTCGTTGCTTGGACGTTATCTGAGGAAAGAAAAAGATGAGCAGGACACAGTAACTCTTAGGTAACAGAATATTCAACATCCTGTTTTTCAAATCTTAGAAAAGTAAAATTGTTCAGCAGTGAAATCTGAATCATGTTTTCTGAAGTAGATATTCAGGAATGATGCACGCAGAGGTGATTTGATTATCCCTTTAGGTGCAAGCCCAGTCCTATAATAACAAGTCCTGTCAGCAGTGCACCTGATTATCTGGGTGGGATCTCCACAGGAGCTGGTATGGTAGCTCAGGATTAGTTGATGGTATTGTTCCCTTGGCCATGCCTGTTAACCTGGGGCAGAAATGTTCGTTTTGTAGGCCATATACCAGCTAAGGATTCGGTGGCAAAAGATGAGCTCATTAAACTGGATTTGCACTGTATAGGTAAGAAATAATGTAATGGCAACGGATAGATTTGTGGTGTATGTTGTCATTGCTTCTTATGGGGCTCTGCTGTTGAAGTTTGGTGTAAACATTCTGAGCAAGGAGAAAAGTGAATTCAAATTTACAGAATCAGCGACAATCTTAAAAGCTCTTGGGTGAATGCTACAGCAGTAGATTCAAAAGTTCAATATTGTAATAAGTATTTAACAACTTTTGCCATCTGATAAGTGAGATGTAGCTTACACACTTAAAATTTAATACTGTGAGTAGGTTAATGCTTATTATTTTGAGGTGTCTTCTTCAGGAAAGGATGAAATGTAGATTCGTATTTGATTCCTAATTTGTCATTCGACAACCTGCTCTCTATTTTTGGTACAGGTGATGCTGCTAGTACTATTGCAGCTTGTATTTAAGTCAGAATTTTCATAGAAAAGTGTTCTTTGAGGAGGTTCAGTAAATAGATTTAACTAATAATGTACTGATGCATACAGGATGTGTTGCAGATACACAGATAAGTTACACTCTGTAAGCTGTAGAACTAACATACTACTATGGGAATCACTAAAAGTCCACAAGGAACTAGAATTTTCAGATTGGCATTTTTACTTTAAGTCATTACATATTTAGATCTCATGCTGGTTCTGCACTAGTAAATGAAGACATCCTACCTTTGCAATGGTAAATAAGAGCCGAATTAGCTCTTAAATATCTAATTTGTCTTCATATATGCAGTTACCTTTAACAGTAGTTTAAAGACACTCAGCTAAAGCATAAAAAAATCCCATTAAGGAAAAATAGTAGTCCTTGGCTTTTCCTGGCTAGTATAGTTCTGAAGTTCTAAAAAACTAATATTTTTAAGTATATGCAGCCAGACTTACCTTAGCTATAGTTAGGATTAACTTAACAGTTTCAGCAATATTATGAACTGGTATTATATGTAAATTACTGCCCAGGAATCTGCACATCAAAATAAAGTAAGGTTAAGGTTACTTTTTGAATGCACATTTAAATGCAAAAAGCATTCCCACACGATGTAAATAACTACTTACCGTGCCTTCACCACAAGTACATAGAAGATTGCCTTCATCTTTAAAGGCAACTGGAGAGTTCATGCTGTTTGTATAGCCATCTGTCCCATTTCTGTCCCACTTGTTTAGGTGGGATTTGAAAGGGCTCATTTCTTTTTCTAGGGCTCTTTGACAATCAATCAATCAATCAACACTTCTTAAGCATGTGTACATTCAGAGAGCACGAAACCCTCTCCTGCTGTATTGTTGAAGATTGTCCATTCTCAGTGCCAGTAAAAAAATGTTTGAATTGTTTTGATGGCTTTTGAAGAACACAGATCAGTATCTAAAAAGATTGTGCTAAAAATACTTCAGAATTTGAACTAAATCTTTGTAGTGTACTATCTAAATATAACAATCTGTGTGTCAGATGTGATTAAAATAACAGGATAATTCTGGGAAGAATGTGATGTAAAGACTTGTTTCTTCCAATAACTTAACCTAAAATTCATTCTCTTTCTATAAATAATGTTATACATATGCATTCATTCTTGAGAATGGAACCTGAAGATTTAAAATACTAGCATCAGTTGTCATTCAGTGCAGTCATGGAAAAGAGAGAGATCAAAGCTTAGGTAAGCACAGAGCCTCCCCTTAAGGCTTGTACCTTAAGCGGGTTTTAACAGTGACGACGACATTAGCAAAGTTTTCTTTCGTAGAGCTAAAACATGATGGGGACTTAAGAACAAAGAATGAGGAATTTTACATAATCAAAAACTTAATCCAACCGAAGTGCCCAGCTGCTCAGTTGTACGCTCCCCTGTGAGCTCCCCTTGTGCCTGCCACCTGTTCTTCCCCTCAGACTGGGGACTTGACTCATTTGCTGTAAGACCCCTGCTGGCTCAGTGTCTGGTCTGAACTTGGCTGCCTGTTCTTCTCATTAGCAAAAGTAAATGTTACAGGCAGTGTCGCTCCCTAAGAGTAGGTAGTCGGGTCACTGTTGAGTCTTACTACATTTTGATGCAGGAACTGTGGTTTGATTTACAGTTAAAGAATGGGGAAATAAATAAATGCAACTTTGCTAACATTAGCAATGAGCTAAGCAAAGTGTGAATGAACAAAGTGCAACACAAACAATTACATGTACTTACCCAGATCCATGAAAATCCATTTCTATCAATAGTTTTGCTTCCAATTACAGCAGGTCTAAATTCAGTTTGTATTTTATTCATTAGATCACTTAGACCACATGTCTAGTCTTTGCTCTGAGGTGTTCAGAAATTAACATATGGATTTACTGAGGATAGCAGTGGAATGCTGATTGGAGCTGCGATGATAAAGATTGCTTTTCTCCACCTTCCCCCGTGATATCCACAACCCCACATAAAGTGTTGATGCTGTTGAACAACAATCCTATAACGTTCTTGTTAATAATAATAAAAAAAACAATTTTTCCCCAATTGCAATAAAACCATAGATAAGCAGAAAGAAACAGTAATACAGGATGACCTGAAGATAGCAGGGGACTTGGTTTTTAACCGAATCCAACAAGTGGCTTCTAATTGAGAGAAAATGGCACAAGTTTCAACCCCACCACTGCAAGAGCTCAACTGGTGATTTGCATACAATAGCAGAATGCCATGCTGTCCTAAAATATAATTGTGCCTTGTCAACATCAATGTGGTATGGCCTACAATGACAAAACTCTTATTTTATTTTAATAAAATCCCTGACTTGTCAAATGGAATACAGTTTCAACACATCCAGTTTGTTAGTGATGAACACATGCACAAAATCTGTTTTACATAACCAGAAAACAGATTGAGAATCAGTATTGCCACCAGCTGAATAGCATGTTCTTGCTGAATGGGGCCAGAGCTTTTAAGACCTCTCATGAAAACGTATGGAGTTTTCACAAATGGGTAATAGATTTCCTACGTTTCATCCCATACCTCATTTGGTAGCGTGCCCAGGATTTAACGAAACTGCTGCTAGCTTCAAGGAGGGAAAAGATCAAAGACTCCATTCGAATAGTCACTTCTTTGATGTCAAGGATGAAAATCAATTGCAGTTAGGACTACTGTACCTACCAGAAAATAGTTTTGACTACAAGTATGAAGCACAATCTGCGCTGTCAGCAGGTACATACTGAAACAGGCAAGTTTTCAGGCTTCATTAGAAAACACAGATAAAACCAGCTCCAATGTTTTATACCTTCGGTGTGAAAGAACACTGATTGTTTCAGTTGTTCTAGCTGTGTGTAACAGATACTGTTCCAACTGACCAGATTTTAAAAGCTGGTCAAGAATCTGTACTTTACAATAAAGCCTTTTCAGACAAAGGAAAGGTGCCTGGTCTGTTTTGAAAATGACCATGAAAAGATGCTGAAAGAGCTAAGAAAATTGTCTAATTTTCCAGTTCAAGAGGAAACTTTAAAAATAATTACATTACATAGCACTAAAGCTACTGAAAGGGGTGTTACTTGCTATGCTTTGAGGAATGTCCCTTTTTGTTACCTATGACATGTCAGATAGATTCAGTAGTCTTTTCATTTGCCATTAATACACATATGCTTTAAGTAAGTTTCCAATACATTAGCAAAATAAAATTAATATTCCTGAAAATAATTCCTAAAATAATATTCCCGAATCTAGGACCGCTACTTTGTTTCTTCCTAGCAATAACAACAAATTGATGTTGCAAACATACCTTTTCTGAATCCTAAACATGACGTTCCATTCTTCTGGTCCATGAAGAGCAGCTGACAAAACCAAAAAACTGTTCCGATGAATGTTTACGAACTTATGAATTCTTGTGAAAAACTCTTCCTCCCCTGTCATAAGCAAGTCTTGAGTGTCTGCCAGTAAAAATGCAACACCTGTTGAAGGAATTGATAGAAATGTACACATAATGGTAGTATCGTGAGTAAGTTCTCACCACAAACTGGGAAGCAGAATTCTTCTATTAAATCATTAGTTTAAGAGACAATGGAACAAAACACATGAATGAATTTACACATCTTGACAGTGAAAGTCATGAGATTTGGTCAGCGAGGACTAGTAATTTTAAGGAAAAACTACAAATAACTCAGAGGTGATCCAAAACATTCAAAAATCCCAACTGTTCAATCCATTCAAGTACAGACATCTGAATGCTTTTGAAAGCACATGCTTCAGGAACAAGCAACTGCTGTAACAGCATCGATTTAGGGCAAAAGCAAAGACTGATTGAAGGGTTCAGCAAGTCCCGTTTCTAAATGAGATAAACAGACCTGTAACATCTTAAAAGTAAGCTAAACTGTCTGCCATGAAAAATGAAATAACCCTGTCAACTAAGTTATTCTGAAAGGGAAAGTTCAGAAGACTGAAGTGTAAGAGGCTTAACAATCAAGGATACAAAAGATGAGGCAGTGCGCCTTGTTAATTATAGAATCCTAGAATGGTTTGGGTTGGAAGGGCCCTTAAAGATCATCCAGTCCCCTCCCCCTGCCATGAGCAGGGACACCTCCCTGTCCAACCTGGCTTTGAACACTTCCAGGGAGGGAGCATCCACAACTTCCCTGGGCAACCTGTTCCAGGATCTCCTAGGGATCTCATTTACCCGTGTAAAGTATCTTCTGCTCTAAAAAGGAAGGAGATGTTTCATGTTTGCAGTTTCAGTGATTTTCTAATTAAACCTCCTCAAAGAATCCATCCTCTAACTCCTCTGCTATCAACAGGACTGCAAACTCAACTTGGAAGATGAAAGCCAAGGGTTTTGTCCAGTCCTGTGTTTACATCCATGAATACCAAAATCTTAATGGCTGTCTTACATGTTTGTGGCACTCAATGTGTTTGCTAAGTTATAACAAGAATTTACTAAACAGTTCAGCTGATGAGCACCAAATCTAATGTAGCTGTTCTACAGTACATCCAAAAAAAGTAAAAACCAATGAAAATGTTTCATCCTCAAAGTTCTCTGCTCCATCCTCTGATTTCTGTGCAATCACAGCACAGCTCTCCACTATTGCATGATATTTCGACAAGGCAGCTTTTGTTCAGTGTAGTGTACCCCCACAACAGGGCCTGATCGTGGACCTTATTAGAGCTTAGGAGTTTAAAAATATAAGTTTCAAAGTACTGTACCAGAAAGAGGAAAAATGATGGATCCAATTTCCACTGATTCTGAATAACGAACTCGGTGTTGTTGCCTCTGTAGAGTTGCAGAAATTTGATGATTCTAAATAAATTTTAAAAGATTACTTTAAAAATATGTTTCAGCCAACAAGTAGTCAGAAATATTCTTAAAGCACTGTCTGAACCACTACAGATAGAACTTCAGCATCACCGTTTAAGAATATTTTTTTCCACTTGCAGTAAAAAAGTAGTAAAATGTTAATTAAACCCGTTAATGAAATTTTGAAATATTTGCATTGGAAGTTATCAAACACTGAATCACAATTTTGTATGCATACATCCAGTTTGCCACAGGAAACTCTTGCATAATACATAAAGAAGCTCAAACATTTTACAGTCTATTTTTGTAAGATGTGCTAAAGGAGGATTTGCAGAAGTGAGGAACGTACAGTAGTGTGTTTCTGTGACGCCGGTTAATTAGACTGCATTATTTTCACAGATGTCAGCATTTCATTTGGAAGATAGCTCAGAAAATCTGTATGGGGCTTGATTTTCTTTAAAGCCTTTTGACAGAATGCAATCCACTCAGGAAAAGTAGGACACAGCACTATGCAACGTAATCATCTACAGAATGGAGTGGGTTTAGATGTATTTTTCAGCCTGCGCAAAGCATTTCTGCAGCATGTTCTTCAGAGGCTGCTCAAACACGTACATTCTAAAGATTAAATCACTGAATCCTTTTTAGCTAATAACATGTTCTTTAACCTACCCATTTAAAGCATAGCCAACCTGCCTCTATAGGGCAGTATCATGATTTAGTGGAAGAGAACGAAGTCAGGATAGCAAGTGAACCCTGAAGGAGACAGTAACCAGCAGTGTTATGCTTTCAACTGATCTGGAAAGAGAACACTCAATGACAGCTGCTTATGAGGTATAACTACAAATTTGGAAAAACTCTCTGCTTCAAAGCCACCGCTGACAGTGAATTATTTAATGCACAAATACAGGTAACAGCTATAAGAAAAGGATAGCCAGACAGGGAAAAAAGAAAGCTCATAACCAAAACTGATACAAAGCAAAGCCTTTGCAAAATAAAAGCCATCTTAGATTTTTATTCAGCTATTTTCATATCTTTGCTCACTGGGAGTCCTTACCAACAGCAGTAGTTTTGAGTAGAGCTTTTGTTAATAGGATCGAGTTATGCTGGTATAGCTGATGAGATCGCTGCCCTCCGATACCTCTCACTGTATTATGGATTAAGTTGCTCTTGAAGCAGTTCTCAAACTGGAACAGTTTACAGGCTGTCATTCCTAGACAAGCAGGCTTTAAGCTGAGGTGATTCAGGAATTACTTCAAGACCATTCACCCATTTATACAGCAGAGATGGGGTGATAAACTTGTCAGCCAACCTAGCATAAGCTATCCTTGCTTGTGAATCAAAGCCCTATTGCCTCTAAAATCTCTCCAGCTGGCGTGAAATTGGCCTCAGCTGCAGGAACTAATTACCAGCTCCTTGACATACCCTTTCACTTTACTGAGGAACACAGTCCAGGCTTCTGATAGTAACAGATATAAATACACATCAATATCTGTAAGACTCGCTATTTTAATCTGGACTACACACTTACTGAGTAATAATCTACTCCAATGTTGATACTGTAGAGTAGAAAATAAAGCATTTCAGGGGAAATGCAGAAAATTAAGAACATTTCTGACAGAATTATTCATACTGCTAATTGAAAGCAGCAACAGTGCAGTGCAAAAATGATGAGTCAGGAGGACAATGCTAAAGCAGTGTAACTCAGAATAGCAGGTGACAAGAATACTAAGTAGGTACAGAAGTAGCTAGGAGAAAAACCACACACAAAAAGAACCAATACTATCGTAGAAACAACTTCAGATTAATGTAATTGTTCTATCTTCAAAAAACTCTATATAAACTATTTCCATGTATAGAATAAAAGGAAATGCTTCTTTCAGTGTTTATTAGAGTCAGATACTGCTCTTGACAAGTGGTATCATACCTGCAGAGCTGTACTCATAACAACTGTTGTTATCCATCTTGACTGTTCCTGCTCACCGCTTTTTGCCATTTTTTTTCAAGGGTTCAGTGGCTCTGCAGTGAAATCTCAGCTGCCACCTTTTGAAAAGCTTGGAAAGAGAAAGATGACAAATATTACCTGACAACTAAGAAGATGAAATGTTTAAGGTACAGGGATCCATTACAGATCCGATTAAAAACCAGGGCACTACTCAGTTCTCCAAAATGATACTCACTACTACAGAACTAATTTAAGATGGCATTTAGATACCTAAATGGCTTTAAAGAATCTGCATCCGAGACGACTTTTTCTGTAAGGTGTAACACGGAGAGCAGCACAATGAATAAATTACTTCAGAAAAACAGTCCTAAAAGCATTTAAAGCAACAAAGGAACATTTGCCTTATTTTCAAAGGGCATGTTTGTTACTGTTCAGCTTTTACACTAAGATACTTTTGGGAAGACTGCCCTGTGGGTCTCCTGCCCAGCCTGGAGCAGCCCACCGTGCTGTGGGCCTGAGCAGTAGCTCTTTTAACGTACATTTGCATTTTTCTCCTGAAAATATTGCTGGATATGCAGCTTGGCAGGCGGTTCTATATCAGTGAGGCTCATACGGTGCAGCTGGGGACACCGGAGCAGCCTGGCGGGAGCGTGAGGCAGCCTGAAGGCTGGGCCGGGCCTCGCCTTACAACCCTGAGGCGCCTGCCTGGGGCGTGGGGGTCGGGAAGACGGGTTTCCATGACTCCTTTGTGCCAGTTGATTCCCAGTATAAGATTTAGCCGGGCCTCTCCCCGTTTTAAAAACCTGGTAAGACGCTGAGATCCCTGTTGCCGTGTGGGGCCGCAAGGTGCGGGCAGCCGCAGCCCCAGCGGCGGCGAGCAAAGGACCGCCCGCCTCGCGCTTCCCGCCCTGCGCGCAGAGGCGCACCCCGCTGTGTCCCTCAGCCCTCCTCAGCCCTCCTCAGCCCGGCGCGGAGCCCTCCGGCAACAAGCAGTGCACGGAGCAGCTCTGTTCTCGGCAGGACCAGCGGGCGCGTCTCTGTAGCGGGCTCTGTCTCCTTTCCGCGGCCCACGGGAAGAACCTCGGCTGCTCCTTACCAGTGGCATGCGGCAGCTGAAACCACCCACAGGTCTGAGGAATTGAGGGATGGCGAACAAAAGCTCCCAACGACCAAACGAAGTGCACGTAGCTTACTGCTAGACTCCACTGGCCTTGGTGAGAAGTGAGGAAGCACCGAAGCTGGTTGCCTTTCCTCTGGCCTGCTTGATTCCTGTCTTCTGCTCGGCATTGCCCTGGAGCATAAGGAGACTGACTTCTGCTGGGGTGCTGCTGAAAGCCCTGTTGTCGTGTAAGTGTCCCCAGAAAAGTCCTCCAGAGACTCGGTGTTGGCCTGAGAGACTGCTGCTGTACTAGTACAGATTGTGTGCCATTTTTAGGTGATAGAAAGGGCAAAGATGTGGAAGGACACCAGGCAGAGTAAGTGGGTGTAATAAACGATAATAAGTTTACTTCTGCACAGAAAAAAAATCTTGAGGGAGTGTTTTTAATGGACAGCTAATTGTGCAGCTGTGTCTGGGGAAGAATATTTCAAATTATATTCTATGATATTCTAAATATAGCAGTTACACAGTACAGAAATGTGAAGGCAAGAAATAGCACCACTTTTAGTGAAAGAGAAATACTGAGAATGTTGGAGCTTCTTTTTTTATCCTCTAAGAGGAAACAGTACTTCTTTTATATGGCAAAGAAGAGCTGGAGTGTAGAGTCATTAAAAGTACTGAAAAAGAGCACTGATTTCCAGCTCTGCTTTTTACCCAGTATGTGAATCTAGACTCATGCTTATCTATTGAAACTGAGAATCTGAGATTGTAGTAAAAGCCTTTCCTTTTTAAACTCTTTTTAGAGCATTTTAAAATAGAAGAAAGTGACCTAAATTATATATTTAAAATGATACATTTAAATAGCAAATTGTCTGGCTTGCTTACAAATAATTAAACATCTTTGTGATTTAAAGACAACTACTCTTTTTTTTGTTTCAGACAAGTAAGAAGTGGATTCATATCTGATTTCCTACTTCTGTTGGTCGAATGCACCCAAGTTACAGTTACCACTCACTGCAAGGATATGGAAATGTCATGCTACTTTTGATAGTAAGTCAGCTATTTCTAATACTGATTTTTTAAATTTCTGTGGATATAAATGTGAAAGTCAGCAAATTAAAGGAAAATAACATGTAAGTGGTATCCTGGCTGCAGTGTTCTGGAGAGCTGTGACGGGACCAACAAACTCTGAAGCCATTTCTGGTAACACAATGGAGCCACATGCTCTGACTGCATACAAAAATCAGGGAGTTAAGAACATCAGAAATTATTTTAAAATACAATTATAAAATAATAAGGCTGCTTTATGATGAGGATTTATCAGCAGATGTCAGCAGGACCATGTGAAGTTTGAATTCATGCATGCTATGAATGAATTTTGTGTTTCAGTACTAGAGAAATCCCAGCGGTGAAGAGGAGGAACTGGTTTGTTGTAGTGATTATACTTGACTTATAACACTATAGTCCATATGAATTCATATTTTGCAGTATGTCTAATATGTAGATGCATTAATTGATTTATAACAATTCAGATGGAGAAAAATAATAGAAGGGAATAGAATGGAATAAAAAGATTATTCACAATGTAAATATCTTTAACAGGTGAATAGATGATGGAAATGTATGGTCCATAAAAGAAAGGATTAATTATTACATTAAAAAAAATTTACAGATAAATTTAAACACTGGATTTAGGCTTCTGAGGTACCAGCAGATGCCCTTTTCCCCTATGTCCCCTACCCTCAACTCAAAATACCCACTTGAGAGGCATCAAAGTGCAATGATGGATAAGTGCGGGACAATGAGTAAAAATGAGACCTTAACAGAAACTGCTTCCTGCCAGTATTTTGTCTGCAGCTGTTTTATGTTAACTTTTGTAAATTCTGTGTATCTTAATTATAGTTATACTGGAAACTTAACTGAATATTTCTGCCTGCCATTACATTTGACAATAGTTAACATGTGAATTAAAAATAAGACTCTTTCTAAGTCAGAAAGTTCTGAAAGGAGCAGAACCCACAGCTTCCTGTGTAAGAGCCACCCTGTCCTAATGTTTGTCTGGTCCAAGTCTTGTGCAATGAGACATGCTGAGCCTCTGGGCTAGGAACTGCTCAAGGAACAGTTCTGGTAGTGGTTTGTTTTGCAATGCCATTTGAGTCCAAATCTCACGACATTACTTGGTGTTCTCTTTTTATGAGCTTAATGTAAGAAGGCCAATTAAATAGGAGCCTAGACTCGAAGAAAAGAGGGTTTTCTGGTTTGCGTTTTCTTCAGAGCGTTATTCTCCCCAGTAGTTTCCCTTGCAAAAAGTGACTTTGAGAGATCCTGTGCTACCTAATACTATGAGCTAAATTTATTTTACTCCTTACAGTTACCTCTGCTGCAACTGTTTCTGACATTTTGCTAGTCTTAGCTTTAAATATCAAAAGCATTCCTTTTCCACATACCTACATGGTGCATTTCACATACAGATGAAGCTGCAAGAAAGACTAGGACTGTGTCTGGCAGCATATCAAGTAACTCCTGGGAGCGTAGCAGAGCAGAGAACCCTGTTTAGGCAGGCACAGAAGGATCTTGGGATTAGAACTCCCATATGATGGAGATAATGGCTTAAGCATTTGGATGAGTAACCAATTTATGACAAGGCAAAAATCTTTCATCAAATTAGTGTTTCTCTGTGCTCTCCTGGACCATATTCTGTATGTTCTAAATCAGCACCACTTTTTGATTTTGTAAGGCAGCTGCATAGGTAGCTTCCTTCTCTATTGATTTTTATGAGAACTGATGGCTCATCTTCATACACAGTACCCGTCTTGTTCTTCGATGACATGATCCAAGGAAAAGTAGTTTTTCCCTTTTAGAGAAGAAAAAGGAGTGAAGGTCCACTAAACAGATAGAAGAGGAAAGAAATAGAAAGAGGAACAAGTTCAATGAAGTACAATGACTCAGCCTTTAAGTTACACATAGGATTTATTATTTTCTGTTGTACAGAAATAAACTAAGAATCTTCAGTATGTAGCATGGGGAAGAAAGCCTGTGGGACTATGCAACCGTACAGAGATTCTGGAAACAGAAGACTGCGTTCACAAGGAGTCATTTGGAAATATGGTCACTTAGGCCCCAGCTAGTTATCTAGGTTTGAAAAGCAGGCAGGTGGAAAACATGCAAGCATTCAGTTTGCGAGCTTAACACATCCCCTCACCCTCCCAAAGACTGAGAGGTCAGAATATTCTAGAACCATAAAGCCATGGACTACAGGTAGTGACTCAAACTTTTCTCCAGATGCATCCCATTATACCTGTATAGGATTAATCTTGATGACTAGAACATGATAATCCAGAAAACAGAGATTGATGTTTCCTTCTTTACCACAAAGATACAGGAGGTCATTTTGTTACAGGTAGGAAGTTTGACTTACAGGTGGGTCTCATGTTCGTGGACATGAAATTACCTCATTCTATGAAGATAACGAGAAGATTTTACACTTGCTACACTGAAACGGGCATGTACTTATGGTTTGTCCTATTTATACTGACCTTAAGCACAGTGATATCATTCTACTGAGAGGCAGGATACTACGCCACACTCTAAAGAGGGTTCTATGATAAAAGAAGTGACGAACTAAAATTATTTCATTAAACACAAATGTAAGAAAAATCACAGAAATGGCTAAATAAGAATCGCAGAAACGAGGATTCTGTAGATTTAAGTAATTTGGTGAGATCAGTCTCAAAACTGGCTTATACAGTTAGAAAGTTAAGTTGTATGAGATGAGATTTTCACTTGGGTTACCAGTCTCTCTGTTCAGACACTTTAAAATATACTGATTTCTGTAAGTGTAAAAACCACACTAATTTCAGTGGGAGCTGAGAAGTCAGAGTCACTTTCACTTGTGTGCATAAACGTAAAACCTGATGGACTACCTGGGTAACTGGGCTCAGGCCCCAGATTT